GAGGAGGGGGAGGAAGGTGGGGAGGGAGACACTGGATGTGCCGGTGTCCTGACAGCCCCAGCTCAACCCCAAACCCCGGCACCCCAAACCCTGACCCACAGTCTCACCCGTGGCATAGCTCTCCATACCCGAAGGCAGGCCATCTCCTCCAGGCCCGGGGATCCCCCCATAGAGGTTCTCCATAGTCTGGGAATTGGGAAAGAAAAGGGACTGATGAGACAAGAGGAAGGGGAGCAGCCGGAGGGGCTGGTGGATGGAGAAACCCGGAGCTGCTTTGGAGCTGTGGAGCCTTTCTGCTGTTGCTGGAGGTCTGCTGTGCCCAGCCTGTGGCCTTACGGGAAGGCAGGGAGTTAACGGGAATGTCACTGGAGAAATATCTTGCTCTGTGCACACACCAGGCTGGGGCAGAGCTAAGGAGAGCACCCAGAGCCCTGTTTTCTGCCTCCATCCCTTCCCGAGCCACCTTGCCCTTTGGATCATGCTCCTGGGTGGCTTTTCCCCTCCCTGGGATGGTGGTGAGGGCAGGAGCGAGCGACGAGCTGGGAATCACACACGTGGGGCTGGGGGCTCTGAGCACATCCCGGGACCCGTGCAATGGGAGTGGGCACCACTCACCTGGTTCTGGATGGAGAGGATGGTGCTGCTGTCCACCTCCCCCATGAGGAACTCGGACACGCTGCAACAGAGGAACAGGGGCTGGGCTCAGCAGAGGTGTCACCCAGCAGCACCCACCCGCACCCCAGGGAGCAGGCGAGGAGCTGCAGTGCTGGATTCAATGGGATCAGCTCAGCCCCGTGTGGTGGGATCCTGGTGGAGGAGCAGAGCTCGGCCCAGCGCTGAGGAAGAGCTGGGAGATGGATGCTGTGGGCTCAGGCAGGATTTGGGGTTGGTGCTGGTGCACGTGGCAGGAGGGAATCTGCTGTCCCCGTGGGGTCCCCAAACCCACCACCATGGGGACAGGGCGAGGGGGGGCGATGGGGTTTATCAGGGCCCTTCTCTGGGGAATGGCTGGCCCGAAGCCCCCTACGTGCTGCTGAAGGACACCGCGATGGTCTCCACGGCTTTCTCGAACTCCCGCTTGTCTGCCTCATTGTTGGATTCGTAATGGAACCCTGGAAAGGAGGAAATGCAGAAGCTGTGTCACCGCTGTCCCTGTCTCGGCTCCTGCCGGCCCCTGCTGTGGTTGAGCTCCAGGGAGCATTGGGAAGGAGAGAATCACCCCCGTGGATGATGGACTGTCCCTAGTGCAGCACATTGTCTCTGCCCCCCCATTTCTGCCCTGCCAGCATCACATGGCTCATGCTTCTCTTTATTCCCATTACCCAGAGCTCTGGAAAAGTGCTGCTGAGCCTGGACCTGTTCCAGAGCCTC